GGTGGGAGGGACCATGTTGAAGGGGAAATTAGCCCAGGGAAATCCAAGAGTCTTGTTTATGGAGGCCAAGGGGCAGCAGGGAGAGCAGAGAAGGAAGAGACATGGGATGCGCTCAGCGCAGAAGCAGCCTGGCCCATGGTTCTCCATTCTTCACCCTGACAGCCTAACAGGAAAAATGAAGTCAGTGAAGGGAGAAATGCTATCGGGAGCCCCGTGCTAAGAGGGCAGACAGGCCAGATTGGAGGAAAATGAGAAGCTGTCCAGACTAATGCAATCATTTATCACATAATCGTGCTCAGCAGTTGGGCAGGGAGCCTGGTGCCTGGCACTAGATGGGAGCCCTTTGGCCCCTGGCACCCTGYTCCAGTTGCTGTGGTTCCTCCAGGATTTTCCAGTGCCTTGTCATCCTTGTTGTACCTGCCTAGTTTTGCTCTCCCCGTTATCTTCTTCTTGCTTCTTTCTTCCTCAGAGCCAGGCTTTGGTGGTCCTTGCTGTGGGACTTGCATTGCTTCACTGTGAACCCTTTTTCAGAAAGGATGGCATCCTGTCAGATCATTGCGTGTGGTGAGACATTTCATCACCGGGCCGTTGTGGCTCCATGCAGAGCTAGCTGCTGGCCTGGGACTTGGATTTACTGCTTCCTCGTACCCGGCCATAAAAAGAGACACTGCTTGAAATGCCACTGCAAAAAGGGGTCAGYGCTGAAGTGTTACCAAAAGGAAGCATCAAGGGAATTTCACTCCCTGCTCATGTTGCATCTTAGAGTTTGCTTCGTGTTTGGGCCATATGTGATCTGCACCCCGGGGAAACATACAGACATCAAAGGGTGACTTCTGGCAAGGATGAGCTCATTTGCCTCGGCTCGGCCTTTCTTGCAGGGCAGAGGGGTGGGATCTCCATGTCCACCCAGCAGCTCTTCCCAGGCCGTGGCTGTGAGTGTCGGAGGGCAGGGAATCCCACTGTCTGCAGCTGCTTTCCCTTGAGGAGATCGGGCTCTTCCTTCTGTTGAGCTTGAAACTGGAAGGAGACCTGCGGTGTCCTTAGGTGCACGAACGCCTCTGTGCTGCTAGCATGGCAGGCAGGAGCACCATTCAGYGCTGCACAGCAGTGTCTCACTCTGGGGATGGGTTATAAGATCAGCTGAACATTTGCATGTGCTTTTTTCAGTGCAAGGTTATGGGATCCGGATGCGCTACTGAGCTACCTATTTTGCATCTTGCATCTGCAGCCTATATGAATGAGCTTTGGGATTAAAATCATCTACTGGATCTTCAGGAAAGCAGTGATGTGCCAAACCAGACAGCTAATTTGCACAGGTCCTGTCACAAATGAGCACTTAGCTGTGTAATTGCTAAAGCTGGCCACAGGATGACAAATCCTACTTCATCACTGCTTTCAGATTTTGATGTTTGCTTCCTTTCCACGGAAACCCAAATCTTCGGGTGCAGTCTTTGGGACAAGGGCTGGGATGCTGTGCCCAGCACTGGCTCTGGGCTGTGGAGCAGGGATTAAAATCCATGCATGAATTATTTTTCACTTCAGTTCATACAGACTCCTAATTCCATAATGTTCCATTTGCAGAGTGCYTCTCTTGAGTCCCCTCATCCTTTCTGGATGTGGAAACAACTTTATTTCTGAGAAATATTTTGGCTTGGACAAACCTTTCAGCAATATTGTAGCCAAGCCCAGTGATTATTCCCCTCGGGCAAACGCCCATGCAGGCCTCTCCATGTATCCAGCTCCATCCAAGTGCTTCCAAGCGATCCCCATCACCGCCCCATTTCAGTGCAGCTTCACCTCATACTTTGGAAGGCAAATGTGTCCTTCTTCCCAGGTTCTCTGTTCTCTCTTTTCCCATCACTGTGCCCCAGGTCCAGGCAGGAGGAGGAGGCTCAGCCCTCCTGCAGCTGATGAAATCCTCCTCGGACGGAGTTCACCAGCTCCAGCCCTTGTTCTTTCCATCCACAGAGCCATAGGCTACCCAGATAGCCTCAGACCTTCCTTCTCTCCTTTGCAGCAGCAGAGTTGTCAGGTAGAGGACAAATTACCTCCTTGTAATCCCATCAGTATTTCTGCTTTGTGCTCTCTGCTGAAACCAGGTAGTTCTAGCAGAAACACAGCCCCTTTTATAGCTGAGGACTGAATACGGACTGCACTGACGGAGTCTCTCAGGACTTGCCAGTTCTGGCAGTCTGCTAAGGCAATATTGGTTCAGGGCCAAGGAAAGAGGGAGATTTTGCCAGCGTGTACCCAGTTCTGGGGCCCTATTAGATTCTTTATCAACAGCGGCCACCTGTTTTCAGGCTTAGCAACAGAGAAGCATCTTCTGACTGCTGTGTCCCCTAGGAATATGGAGTATTAATTATTATTAATGACTCCCTGTGATTTTTACTATTAGCAATACTAATTAATTGGATTATTGCTATCCCTTCCATTGGAGARGCTGGCGGGTAGCACGTAGCAAAGTAACAGCCATTGCTTTCAGTAAGAAAAGGGACAAGCAGGAACCTACTCCGTGTTATTTGGGTAATGCAAAGTGGCAAGAGGGAGAAGAGTTTTGGAGGACTTAGCCAGTGTGGGCAGTGAAAAAAGCACCCACTGTGACCTTGAGAGGGGGTCTGGAGAGGAGGAGAGTGAGGTTAGGGTCTTATTCCTCCAGGCATCYGCTGCTGGTGTGAATGGAAAAGTTCATGAGACCCTCTGCTTTTTCCAAAGAAAGTGTCACTGATGGCAGTCTAAAAGCAAGGTGAGTGACCCAAGTGAGTGGTGAGTGACGGGAGGTAGTCCTGGCCTTAGTACAGGCCATAGGTAGCAGCTGCAGCTTCCCTATCTCTGTGTTTGGGGTGTGAAGATCCATCTGTCCCCTTCTGGAACCACTTGAGCAATGGCATAAAAACCCCCTCAAATTGTGGGCCGGGCCAAGTACCTCATGGTATCTCTGCAAGAAATAGGGTTGTTCAGGTGATCTTAATCCCCACCACTGAATCCTTCCATCCTCCCAGAGARGGGGAGTTCAGGGGTGAAAGCTGCTCTGTGCTGTTTCCTTTTCAAATTTTATTAAAGAGAAAAGTGAATGGTTTCACAGCAAGGGATTTTTCAGCGGACCACCTCCCAGAAAGCATGGCCCTAGATTCCTTACCTAGTTTTCCTCAAGACTAGGAATTCTGGCAGCAGAGGCTTCGTGCATGGGATGAGAGCGTCTTTGTCCCCAGATCTTAGCCTCTTCGTGCTTGCTTGGCTGTCCCATGCAGAGATCACAGTGGCTTCTCCTTGCCTTGAGCTCCAGACAAACCATCCGTCTTCACAGTGAGCAAGACCCTTCATGAGACAGATAGCATAGCATCAATTGACTAAAAATATCTCTGAAGAATCAAAAAAAGAAAAAAGCACACGTGCATGTGTGTGTGTGCGCATATGTGTGTGTCCACAAACCCATTTGCTGTTTAGGTGTCAGAAATAAATTTTACCACTGGAGTCTGCAGCATCTGATTAGTGAATTATTCAGTTTGGAGACTGCCTTCACCGTGACCTCATTAGTAACCCTGAGGTGAGTGGGACGCATTAGACTAACCACCAAGCTGTCACTGAGGAGCAGAACTGGGGCATTAAAATGGATTAAAGTGCTTTACCAAGAAGTGAAGCACAACTCAAAAAAAAAAAAAAAAAAAAAAAAAAAAAAAAAAAAGACAAAAAGGAGAGAGAGAGAAGAAGTAGAAAAGAAAGGCCAATAAAATAAATAAATAAACTATTCTGTTAAGCTGGCAGCCTGAGGATAAACAGGCAGACGGAAGGGAAGGGGGGCTGGCATGTGCTGGCAAAGCACAAACCTTCACTGGAAAGCAAGGATAAGTTTGAGGGTGGGAAGAGGTCTTTGAAGGGCTGCAGAGCCAAGGGCCATGGCATCACTGTCCSCTCTGCCAGGGAAGCGTAGGGTCTTTGCAGTGAAACCAGACTTTGGGGTCTCAGCCAAATCCCTCTGGCTGCCCAYAGAGGGACCCCTTTTTTTCACCCCACTTGGGCTGATACTCTTCAGTTGCCCTCTCTGTGCCAGAGCAGGTGCTTGGACAGACTGAAGGAGGGTTTGCAGAGGACACCTGCAGAGGCAAACGTGGATTGGAGGGATGCAGGGAACTGCAGGCCCTGGTTTCTGATTCCTCATTCTCAGTGGCTGGGGTTGTTCTTTGCAATGGACTAAAATACTCAGTCCTAGCACCAGAAAGAAGCTTTCCGTAAATGAAGGAGGAAAGGAGAACAGCCTGATTCATGTTGCTCTTGGGCATATATTTATTTTCTAAGTTCTCTTTTTAACCAGTTCCCCTTTGCAATTCAGAGGAAGATGGTAGTCTTGTTTCAGTCTCCTGAGCTGGGCTCTGGGTCTCACTCCAACCTCTTCATTTCTCATGACTGCTTTTCACTGCCTTCACACAGATCAGATCTCTAAATATTGGTCCTTGTGCTGGCTTTCAACTCCTGTGAGTGAAATATTGCTGACTGGATATGGGAGYGTAGTGGCGACGTGCAAATGACTTCCAAGTCCACCTTGAGTGGGAGTTACTGCTGAAATGGTGAGGAAGACGTGGCCTACAGCGATCATGAAAGGATCACAGTGATCCCTGCTTCAAAAGGGGATGCTAGAGAAAGACAAGAAAGGTGAGATGCTCCATTTTATCTCTTCCTGAAAAACATACCGAACGGAAAGGGGGATGGGTCTGTATCACGCTCCCTCAGGGTCAGCCATTCCTCTTTCCTGGGGGGAGGCATTGGCTGATGAGAACAGCTTTCATCAGGGCAYGGGCCTGGTGACTGATGCGGTCACATTTGTTTGCTCAGCAGCAATTGCAAATAATGGACACTAAAAGGCTTTGTGGTTCATTGATGGCCATGCTCATAACCACACACTCTTCATCCTGTTCTAGGGGAGAAATGCAGAGCTTGCCCTCAAACTTCTTGGGTCCTGTGTCCTGCCTTCAACATGATATATGAGTGCAAGAGCCCCATCTGTGAGGGATGCTGTGATACGGTCGAAAGTGGTGACTGGATTGTCTAAGAGTTTCACTCAATGATCTGTTCATTCCTTTCACCAGTGCAGCTGTTGGAAGTCTGTACATATACTCAAGACATTGAACTCAGATGTTTACAGGCTCTTTATGTGGCAATGCCTGGTGAGTACGCTTAGATCTTCCTCTTCCTTAGTGACAGTCCTGGGAGCRCCTCATTGCCAACTCACTTCTGGGCCCATCTCATTGCTCCATGTCTTCTGGCTCTCAGAGGCATGGTGATCTCCCATACTTCTTAATTTGCTATCCTTCTAGCTTGATCTGTTCAGCTTGGACCTACCCCTAACCAGGAGAGACCTTGCTAAATATCTTCTCCATGCTCCCTAATACTAGTCCTCTAATAATCCTTTAACTTCCAAGTTCACCAAGGGTGGGTATACTTCCAATGTCTGAGCACTGGGTCCATTAGGGCTCCCCAGTATAATTTTAATTCTATTCAAAACTAAATTTGCTCCCAAATTTGCTTTTTTTTTTCCTGGTTGTTGCCTAAAACTATTGATCAAATCCTAGCCTGATCAATTGATCAATTCAGGCTACTGGTTCCCCAGGTCTTTTCTGAATTCTCCCACCAGGCAAGTACAGGAATTTGTTCATTTAATGCTACTTAATAATATATACTTATGCACAGTGTAGCCCAGGCTATTTGCATTGTCAAGTCATGTGCATTGACATGGAAGCTTTACTTCCTCTTGCATTACTGCTGGTGTCATCTTCAAGCGACTGCCTAATGATGACTGGATGAACCGGAGAGAAGGATGCAGGAGATCCAGAAAATGACTGGGAGACCTAGAGCAGGGATCTCTGTCACCATCCTGGGAATTGCTGTGTGGGGTTAAGCATCTGGCAGGGTAGTATACCTTCCTCCTCCAACTAGGGAGRAGCATCATCATTTAACTTAGCCACACTGGCTTCATTTTGAAGGCCAAACTTCCCTCCAAATGGGATCTGATTTCTAGTACAGTTCTCCTCTGTGTGAGATTCTCATTGTCCATGCATTCTCTCTTGTTTTTAAAAAAGTAGTTTAAAGCAGAATAACATGCCCTGCCACCCAAACAAGACAATTCTTGCATTCCTTTTTCCTTTCCTCACTAGCCTCCTTTGGTGTGCTCTGCTGCCGTGAGCACATGGGGCCTGTGGGGCCCTTCCTGTGATCAGCACTGTCTGCACTGTGACCTCTTCCAGGATTTGGAGACTTGCAGCATGAGTTTTAAGGATGGAAGACCAACAAATAAGCCTGGTTCCCTCTCTTGCATATTAGTCCCCTTCTTCCATCTTGTGTTTTCTGCAGGAACTGTTTGCAATCTGGATTTTCAGTGATGAGCACATCTACACATCATGACTCCTCACAAGGCTTCTCCCAGCCCTTGTTACTGGCTTTCCTCTTTGGGAAAGTTCTTCCAGTGCTCTAGATCTGCCATGTCTTCTCTGCACACGACATGCAGTATCACGTCTTCTTGCCCAGCAACCAGGCCAGTGCTCAAACACTGTGTGTGCCTGTTCATAGACCTACGCAGAACTTCTCATGGAGCAGGGCGCAAAGACAGGCCCAAGAGCATCTCTCAGGCCAGGTATGTGCACCATCCTCCCATCTCCTTGGCACAAAATTATCTGCAATGAATCTTGGTCATCGGTGTGGGAGGATTATCTACTGTGCTAGAGCAGGACCTTCCTTACCACTAAAGAGAGATGAGCCCTTTGCAAAGGACCAGYATGGAAAGTCAAAGCAGGACTTTCCCTGATCCCATGTTGCCTAAGTCACAGCCTAGGGCTTTTTAGCATTCTCTTGGTGGGTCCCTCTCAGTCTGCGAACAGCAACTGGCTTTGCCCATTTTCCCTGGCCCAGAGCATCCCTTTCCCACYTCCTCGCCATCCAGAAGAGGCATAAATCGCTGCCCGTTTCGTAAAGCAAGGCTGGAGTTTTCTCTTGGCCATTTGCTAAACAGCTGGAGCTCTCCCTGTATCCAAGGAAACCCGTGTTAACCTGATGCTTGCAGGGAAGCTTCAATTCACCAAGTTTCTCCTGGCTTTTCTTGGTGCTCCAGAGAAGCAGGGTCCCACTGTCTAGCACACAGTGCAGAGCAGGGGTCTTTGACCCTGACTTGGCATCCAGAGCCCTCACTTAGCCTTAAACCTTGCTATGTTCATCCTCTTGGGTTAAAACTTTGGAAAGTTTGCAAGTGAAGGCTCATCTGCCTATTTTTTTTTTTCCTCCTCCCAGCTTCTCATGCTCTACCTGCTTTGGGAATTGAGCCCGTGTAAAACAAAACTGCAAAAGCCTTGATTTCCCCATTTTGTTGCTACTTAGCAGCAGTTTGATAAAAATTATTCCAGTTTCCCCAATAAACCTGCCAGACACAGCTCTTCAGGGGCTCACTAACAAGCCAGAGGATTTGTTTTAGTGAAAACCACCTGAATTTGGGACTTTGCTCTGTCTCTCCAAGGTCCAGTGCTGAACATTAAGCCCAGAGCAATTTGGGCAGGCGGAAATGTGGGGAGGGGGCTGCTGCTCCCGGCAGCAGTGAGACCACTTGGTGGGGAAGGGGTCAGAGTGCTCCATGTACGTGCTGGCCCTTCCAGTCCCTCTGATGCTTCTGCCACCATCCCTCTGCTGGACCCTGCAGCTCTTTCTGGGYTCTCCTGGCTCTGCTGCCAACTCCTGAAGCAACTAGAGTTCCCCATTGGCTTCATCCTTCCATTTAACTGTCAGGAGGAAGGACTTTGCTTCCCACTCTACTCTGACCTTCTCCAGCACATGACACCTTCCTGGAGGATCTCTCCACCTCACAGTGCTCCAGAGAGGTGTGTGGTAAAATCTGGAGACTTTTTCTGCTTCTCTCTCTATTTTTATCTACTCTGGTCTTCTCCTGTGGGTGGAGTACTGGGTAAGCATTCATCTCAGAGATGATCCATGTTTCTGGCTAGGGTCATGTGCAGGAGCTGGGCATGAACAGGAGAGCAGCTTCCAAGCGTTTGAGAGCAGATGTGAAGAGAATCCATGAAAACTTGGGAAAGTTTCATTCTGCTGGAGCTGGAAAACATGGCGTGTGTGATGAGCCCAGGACAAGTATAACCCTTGCACAGAAGGTGGTTGAAGTTAGCAGGGTACCTCAAGGGAACCTTATCCCTCTTGAAATCAGTTCTATCTTTACTCCTGATTAGAGCTGATGCAATACCCCTGCTTGCTCCAACTGGATGGTAAAACCACGATGCATACAAAAGTCCATGAGAGATGGAAAACYGCAGGTTAGGCAACATCTGCAGCTACAGTAGGGACCTTCCACCTCTCTCTGAAAGCAGGAAGACTGGCAGCTCCAGGGCGACCAAAGAGCAGGAAATGCTCTCAGGATTCTCTGGACACTCTCTTTTCTCCTGACCCATGTTCTTTCTCTTGGTTGTCAGGAGCTCTCTGTCCTGCTCAGATGCTCTTCCAGCCCTAACTTTTCCCAGCCCCATCTCTTTCCCTTTGGAGGCAGCACACACCTTGCCCATTGAATGTCTGTGCCAGGCACTGAGTTAAGCAGAGGGAATAAGCACAGGGAAGGGAGTTTCACGTGGTGGTGGGGGACAGAAAGGYTGGAGGCCATGCCAGGTTTGGCCAGGCTCTGGGAGCATCTTCCTGAGGCTTCAAACATGGATAAGCAAGGAGCAAAGAGCATCTCTTCCCTCCCTGCCCCTGTCCAGCAGGGCCACCTGCTGCTCCAACACGCCTCCAGGCTGGTCCCCATTGCCCTGGTGCCACTGAGCACAGCTGTGTCATCCTGTTCGGATCTGGTGCCGTGTCTCTCTCTGCTGGCAGGTCCCTCTGAGCCTGCCAGCACWTTGAAGAGCATCTGCAGGAGCTTAAAGGATGCTCTGGAAACAGAGACTGCTTCCTCTGCCCCTGGCAGGGCCATAGCCTGTGGTGTGTAACGGTTGGGCTGTGCTAAAAGCCTCTGCTCCTCTTGCTGGGGCTTGACCGGGTGCTTTACCGGAGCCGCCGGCTTAATGCAGAGCGGAGATGCTGAGGGGAACTTGCGTGCTCTCCCTAGGCTCCCCTTGCTCGGGTGGAGGTTAAACTTCTGCCTTGGCCTTGTACAAACCAGGCTTTAACGCAAAGCGCTCTGTGTAAGAGCAGACGGCGCTTCCCGCTCTCCAGCGAAGCGTTTCTTTCGCTGTCCCTAAGGTGGCAGTGCAAATCGCCAGCCCAGTAGCCGCATCCTCTCACAAGTGGGAATTAAGCTCTGGATGCTCCGAGGTCCTCTCTCGTGGCCCAGCACCTTGTGTGTTGTGGCTGGCTCCTGCCCGTGCCCTCCTGCAGCCCAGCGCTGCTGGGCAGCGATGCAAGTGGGAATAGCCCAGGCAACGCGGAGCTGCTTCAAGAACAGCACATAGGGCGAGGAAGGAAACTGGGTGCTCCCCCAGCAGGTCTCAGGGTGCACCAAGCAGGGAAAAGCCCTCACATTTAGCAGCACCCAGGTGGTAATGTTCAATACTACTTGACGTAGGTTCTGCGGTCCAGTGGTGGAATCAGTAGGAAGGGGAGGTGATTGAGAGGCAGGGGAGAAGGGAAAATGTCAACTTTTGGCTGAGAAAGAGAGAAATTAAAAAGTTTCTTGCCTTTTATTGTTGAAGGGAAGTTTTAAATAGTAATAGGAGAGTGCCAGAAAGGCCCGGGCTTAGGAATAGGGCACCAAAACTTGTGGGTTTAACAAAGCAGCTTGCAAGCCAGACTTGGTGTGTTTTCACACAGGGTTTCAGTCCCACTGGTTCTGACCCTCAAGCATGACCTGTGTGACACAGCATGACCTCCATGCCGTGTGGTTTGGTCCATGGCCAGCAAAGGCACATGTGTCCTACTAGGAGGAAGCCACAGCCAGTGCTGAGGCAGGCTGGCCTCCCTCCTCTGCTCCCAGGGAGCCCCATTGCCACCCCACGTCTCTGGAGACCGCTGGGATCTCCTCACTTTCCAGCAAAAAAACCCCAAACTGGCTCTTCAACAAGCGCTGGTGTGCAGGTCTGTGCAGTGGGGCTGCTTGCGACGGGGTTCTCTGGGCTTCCAGGGCATGGTGACCAAAGGAGGTTAACTATGATCCAGTTGGCAAAAATACCCTGTAATTTCCTCTCTTTCTGATCACAGAGTGCCCCCTTAGGAGTGCCAGACAGCCCTGGGCAGCAGGCACAGATTTGGATTTACTTCTGTTGTTCAGACCAAACAGCTGCTAAGGGCGTCAGTTATACAGACATGATGATGTTGTCACTTTATGTATCATTTTTATTTCATTGCTCTCCAACGTTTGTAATACCCCGGAGCTCAGAAGCTTAAATAACAGCTCTCCCCATATTGATTTTATCCTTCGCCATTTGGCACTCATTCATTCTTTTCCCTTTGAGTTTCTAATAACCAGGATTTTAACGGAGCATCGTCCTTTCGCCTTTCTGCTTGAGCAGTGGCCACAGCCGAGCGGAGGTGGCAGGGGAAGGGAGGGAGCARTGGGCACAGGTTCCTCCAGGTCTTTGGAAGATCGGGGCTGCTGCACTTCTGCAGTGCCTCTTTACCTGATTCTTACCATCACCACCCCCAAATAGCATTTTATTTCTCACTGAGTTATATTCTCTGATGCAAGCTGCATTTAGAGTCAGTAGGGCCCTCTTCAGCAGACTTTTGGGGATGGATCAAGCAACCAGATGGTGCTGAGGGAATTGCTTCATRGCAAAATGTACCTCTTCTTCCCAGTGCAAGCTGCCCGTGACGGGACCACACGGTTTGCACATCTAGTGGCTGAATGGAGTTGTGTTGGCCGCTCAGCGTGGGGTGCTGTTGTCTGAGCTTGGGCGTTGGACATTTGGCCATGCAATCCCTTAGCTTCCCCTGGCTAAGCAGTGCATCCTCCTGTCAGCTCCTATAGCAGACCTGCACAGCCTGCTCCATCCTCTCTGCTGGCCCAGAGCCCCTGAGCTCTCCAGGACCAAGAGGGTCCCTGGCTATGCATGGAAGCCTGAGGATGCTGTCGGATACTCTGGTGGAGAACAGCCCTTGTAGCTCCTGACTCGTGCTTTGGTTTTCTGGGCAGCAAATGATGGTACATTAAAAAAAAAAAAATCAAGAACAGACAAAAAATGATACTATGGGGTGCATAACACAGCATGTTTGCGCAAAAAAATTGTGATCATCTGCTGCAGCAGCTTCAGGGTAGGAGGAAGAAGGAAAGGAGTGGYGAGTGAAGAGAGAAGAATAGAAAGAGGCAGGGAGAGAAGTGCTGGAAGAAAGGGGAGCAGCAGGGAGAAAAGCAGGGAGCTGAGGGAACGATGCTGACCGGAGAGCATGGCAGGAGCTCGTGCCCAGAGATG